TTATATGAATTCCATGTTGTACGAGTCACTTCGATTTTACAAATACGTGTGCCGGGCTGTGAACGGCTCACGTATTTGTAAAATCTAAGTGACTCGTACAACATGGAATTCATATAAAACGGAATTATCAACAGAGTTATAGGGGAGTCTGCTGTAGTAGTGTTGCATTATTATTTTTTTATATGAATCTAGAAATATCTAAACTTTTTCAATGTTTTAACTTGTGTAATTATTAAATTCATTGATTCTACAAAGCTTTCAATAAATCAACAAAAGGTTAGGTTTTGAGAATATGGATGAAGGTATACAAAATCAAAGTTTTGAGTAAATTAATGTTGAAATTATTATGTAATTATTTCGGTGTAAATATTGCATGAGTCTGGTTGTTGCATTATATACTACAAGAAAATGCCGGCAGCTTCGGTGCCAGTGTGAGAAATCTTCATTCTCTCTTCCTCTGTGATGTCCTCTTCCTCACCACTTTCATCCTGCACACTTTTGAAGATTTCTTCATCGATTAAAGCCCGATCTACTCCACAATATCTTCATTCAACCAATTAGTAATGTCTTCTTCGTTAACTTCTCCCAGAAGCTTGTGGAACATATCAACGAACACAGCATCCAGAAATGTTTCTGAATTGACTTACTCATTATCACTCGATGTAGATTCCAACTCACAGTTGTCAGTGTCAATCGAAGCTCAAATTTTTTCCAATCCTTCACTATTGTAGTGCTCTCCACAATGTCCCATGCTTCTGCTATTTTAAAAACACGTATGTTGATCGCTTTCCACGCCTCCAGCATAGCTTCGGTAGAATCGTTTTCACATTCATCTAATAGGGAGCATGTCGATAACGATGCGTAATTGATTCCAAAATTCCGATCCGTAGATTGGATTAGAGCTGTCACATTTGGTGGGAGAAAGACAGTTCGTATATCATCTGATTTCAGAGACAAGTCAGAGGGATGACCGGAAACATTAGATTATAAATTAGAAGGATGGCTTTAGCAGAAGTTTCTTTTTCTTCAGTTCTTCCTTCTCAGATGGTACGAATTTATCATGGAACCACAGAGAGAGAATTTCTAAGTCCCTCCATGCTTTCTTTTGAGCACGATAATCTACCGGTAGTGTACTCATCTTGCTGTGCTAAAAACATCGTGGCTATTGGGCTTTTCCAATCACAGGAGGGTAGTTTAATATTCCCATCGGTGTTTCAACACGCTATCAATGTGACGCGTTGTTTTTGTTGTTTATACCCACAAACTTCGTTTTCGTTCTTGGCAGCAAAGGTTTTTGGAGAAAGCATTTTGAAAAAGAATCAGTCTTATCAGTATTATACACTGTAGCGGAGATTGATTTATACACACTTCCAGTTTGATAGCCAGCCCTCGCGTGCTGTAAAACAGTTTACTGCCGCCAAGTGTTTTGTCAAATGCCACTGCTTTATCTTTGAGTATCGATTGCTCTATAAACTATTTGTAAACGGCTGCATCAAGTTTTTCCTTCTCATCTTTTCGCATAACTTTTCTTTTTCCCGTTTGTCTATTTGGCTGGCGCACTGTCGCAGTTGATTCTCTTTTGTCTTTATTTCATAAATAGTAGCATATCCGACGATGTACTCAGTACTGATGGATTTTTGGGAACGATTTTGCTTTAACTTCCCTAATATTTTCAATTTCTGCGTGAGTTCTAACAAAACGTGTTTTTTTTCAAGCCATAATTGAAGTTTATCACGCCACTTTCCACACTTCTAAATCAAAACTGAAACCTCACACAGGTGTGAAGTTTCAGTTTCAATTTAAATAGCGAGGTTGCGGCCGAAGTTTTCATCTCTAAAACGTAAACGTCGAACGTGAGTGCCACTCGGCGTTCACGTTTTAGAGATGAAAACACTGGCCGCAACCTCGCTAATAACTGGCGTCATGTTGGATGGCCATCTACATGACGCACTCCATTTATATCACAGCCGTCGGCCGAATAATCGAGAGGATATATTATATGTATCATTCGACAAAGAAAAAAAATCCATATTTTTTCTTTTATATGTCAGGTTAATGTTCTAATGTAATTCATACAGAAATATAGCACTGATGGAGCAGTGGTAGCGTCGTGGTCGGACTGAGCATTTACGTGTAACCTATTGTGCGCTCTTATTTTTATCCACATACGTATGGCAGAAGTCGGGATATGTCACAGAAGAGAATATTACAATTTTTCTAATGTTATTGATGTAAGGGCATGTCCCGAAACTTGTTGTTATTTGTTAAGTTATGGCAACGCAACACGCAACATCTGAGCGATCTTCCTAGGGAGATGCCTTCCGGGAGGTCTTATTATGGGAAATGACCCCTGTTTATGCGTTATAGATGTGGATAAAGCCCGGAAAACTGCACTTGGCCAGCTCGTCCGAGCAAGGCGCGAACCCACGACCGAACTCCCAGTGTTCAGGGTACGAAGACCACTTGGCCACCAGTGGGCACTTTCCCGAAAGAAAGTATTCATTAGAAGATTGTGATAGAAATCCTTTCATTTCATGTGCTCATTTTAAACAATTGATTAGTCTTAAAATATTTTTTCTTTACGTTTACATTACACCATAAAAAGTAAAAACTTCGAGCAGAATCAATTCCTCGTTATGCTGTCTGGCCACAATGCTACCATTCCACCACCATAGCTATGCACTATTCCATATTCCATATGAATTTACATTAGAACATTTTAGAACTCTATTTCTCGTGCACAGATAAAAGAAAAATGGGGGTCTTCTTATTTTTTCCCCTCAACCAAATGGCATATATTTTATTAAAAATGTAAGACTGATATGAGAAAACCCTCCCTTATGAGATAGAGATTGTTTTATAATCCGGATAAACGGGGTTCCTCTGCAGTTTCTTCACTTATATTTGATATTTACCTTTCTCCAATTTCTTTACAGCAATGCTCTGCAACCTTTTGCACGACACACCTAGGTACTTTCCGCAATTCCATGGCACATCACAAGTAAAAATATACAAAATATATAGAAGTTACAAAGTACAGTACATATCAAAAGAATACTGATTTACTGTTTTATTTTCCCGGTTGTTATGCTTACGTAACAAGGAAAAGTATTGGAATCATGTCAAATTTGACACTCCGAGTTTTTTGCAAATTTTCACGTTTTGAGATCTCCTAAATCCAAAAAAAAGTCAAAAACTTCCGTGAATATGTATGTATGTATGTATGTGTGCTGGCGTCTACTTCGCTTGATATCTCAGGATGGGGTAAAGATTAAGAAACGAAATTTGGATGATGGCCTGTATATGAGGGGCATTGATGTTATTAAATTTTGGTGGTTAAAGGTCGAGTGGGTGAGGAGATAAAGGGTAGTCATGTGGCATATCTCGAGGGGGTAGGACTTAATGAAGATTTTATTCGTTATTAACGTTTACATTTTTTTTTTTTTTTTATAAAACTCATCCCTACCCTCAAAATTAAGGTTTTTGCATTTTATAATTAATAACGCAAATATTTAAAATCTTTTTTTAACTTCTTTTTAAATATAAAAATTTCGCGAATATCTTCGCTTTCTTTTCGTCTTTTATATCAGCGACAGTTTTTATATTTTTTTTAAAAATTAATAACATTAAGATTTTAAAAATAAAATATCATAATAGATATTTTATTTTTGCAGTTTTAAATTTTATCGCCGGAAGAGTTAAACAACTCGTTGCTGGATATTTTCTTCGGTTTATTTTCTTCGAATATTTCCGGTTAGTTGACTATATTTTAAAAAAATGCATTCTCTAAAACAAGAGTTTCCAACCTAGTCACTATTAGGCTGCAACCTGGTTAAGGTGACAGCCTACCGCTCTGGGGGACCCGGGTTCGCATCCGAACGGGTCGAAAAATTCCCAGGAATTTTTCGGGGAGTGGTCTGTTCGGATATGTCGGGCCCCGTCCCTCACCACCCGGTAGCCCCATTGTGAGCCTGGCCGAACCCATAATGGGCTTGCAAAAAGAGGCCTCTTAGTGCCCACAGGGCGGAAAGAGTTTAAAAAATCATCCGAGGGCGTCTATCGATTATCTGGGAGTTCGATAAATTACTAGGGATTGTTTGGGGATCGCTGTTGGAAAAAAATATATATTTATGTAATGTAATTTTTGAAGTGCAGCGAGTAGCNGTAGGAACAAACGAACATTACATTTTTATTTATATAGATAGATAGAAGATGATCTGCTTTAGTTCATTTTCACAGAAAAGCATAATGCCTCATAGAAAAGCAAACTTAGGGCGTCGTACTCATAGCGCCATCTGTTGGACATAAAAGCCTTAACCTAGATTATATCTTTTACTTTATATGAATGTTTAACGTAATAATATATAGCCTATGTCCACCCTGAAGTTCCATTCTAAATATTGGTGAAAGAATTTTTGAAATCGGATGAGTAGTTTCGGAGATTACCTGCTGCATACATACTTACTTACAAACATTACCTCTATAATATTAGTATAGATATTTAATATTTAATGGAAAAATATGATTGAATGACATTTCTATTCTGTTTCATTAATTGTATCATCAAATGAAATATATTAACTGGTTCTTTAATTTTTGGTCATCTTTTAAAGATGATAAAATAATGTAGTAAAAATATATTTAGTTAACAATCTTATTAGCTTATAAAAAATAATATATTTAATGTTTTTAAAATAAATATTTATTTATAATAAAAATGGATAGGACATTTAGAACAGTATATGAACTAGAAAGTTTCATGTTTTATTTTTAAATTTTTAAATAGACAATTCTTCTGGACAATAAAAATTTGCTTTCAATGTGGAAAAACATTTTAAATGTTATAACAGAAAAAAGTATAGATATTGTGAAGATTCAAGAATTAATTAAGTATTATTTATTATTAATTTTAGAATTTAATGATATTATTAATTCAATTCTAAAAATATTTGAAATAATTAGCAACATAGACCAAAAACATGTTTATATTCCAATGAATTAATTTATTTCATTATTTTATCAAAGAAAAACTATCTGTATACTTTGGATAACAGATATAATCAAGTCTTCATACATCAATTATTGATAATGGTAAATCCCTCCATAATGAAAACAAATATAGTTCTCTATGCAATTTGTATTATCTTAATGTCAAAACTTCTTCCAACTTAATGATATTCTCTACTGTGATAAACTTCTGTTTAGTGATACATTTTTTTTACTCTACTTATAAAATATATAGTATTTTCCTTTCTCTACAATGATGACAATGTAGTAAATTAAATTTTAATTCATTTGAACTTACTTCTCACAGGGTTTTGAAATCAAAAATCTGGTACTCTCTTAATATTGATTTTACTATAAACACTACCCACAGTCAATAGGCATCAGTACTGATGAGGTTTGCTAGGCTGAGCATGTTTTTGATATTTTAGCACCCAATTTTTTGTTCAGCACTCAAAATTAATTATCAATTTTTGCTTTAACTGAAAAATGTTTTCAGCAAAATTTTTTAAATTTGAAGTTAAAAAAGTTAATTCTAGTGTCTACCAACTTACTTATAGAATGCATATCCAAATTTTTTAATATATTTATATATAGTCTTAATTTGTACAAATCTTTGCATATTTTTCTCATAGATACTATCAATAAAATATTGAACTATATATTTTTTTTAACTGAAATATAATTTTTACTTTCAATTATTATTATTCATAAGTTATTTATTTATTTAGAGAACAGCAGGGAAAAATATTAACAGGAAATGCCAAACTGAATGAGTTAAAAAATAGATCCATTAGAAAAGAATTAGAAAAAAATGAATATTTTAACTTGACCCGAAAACAAATTTTATCCAAACTTGCAAATAAAGAAAGAAATAAAGAAAAGCATAACACTGAATTGCAAAATATAATGGCTGATAGTACAATAGTACAAAAAACAATTTGTGAATTGGAGAAACAAGTAGATCTTTGCAATGGTGTAAGTTTTAACTATAAATGGCTCTTGCATTTCAGAGATTGTGCATGTTCATAAAAACATATATGAAAATCAGAATGAATACAAATCAAATGAACAAAATTAAAATATGCATTATTATAAAAATATTTTAAAATAAATTTTAGATGTTTATCATCCTGAATGTGCATCCTTATTATCAAAAATGTTCAGATAATATATAATGTCTATTATTAAATTCACTGTTACCAAGAAACAAATGTGAGATTTTATGCATCTAAAAAAATGCAATACAATAAACNCAAAATTAAGCTTTTTGTCATTTTATAGTAATTAAAAATATAAAAAGCTTTTATAACAAAATCTCATAATAGATGGCTCCACACACAATTTTATTTATTTTGCTTAATAATGTAAAAGTTATTTTTTTTCAAATAAAAACGCATAACAGCCGGTAAAGTTACACAACTTTCATTTCTGGATTTTTTTTCACTTGTGATAATATAAAAATACTTCAAATTAGTTTATAATCAATTTTCCTATTTTGATTTTATTTCTTAACAATCAGGAAACTACTCCGTACAAAATATCATGCATGAAAAGCATGTGATCGGGATCTCAAATCTGCACGTGCAAAATTTTGTGAAATATGGCTGCAAAGGTGTAAATTGTGAAGCTTGTTAGAATTCCTTTTCTCTCAAATCTTAGTGGCGATAAACATGTAAGAGACAAATCACTCTCTCTTTTGAATCAATACCTATTTATCATATTCACGTGCTCACCTGTTTTTTGGTGAGCACGTGAGAAGGCGTGGTCCTGCACAAAATGCTCAGTTGTGGAACTCTCATATACAGGATATAATGGGTATAATATTTAATTCTTTTTATAATTATGGTATTAAATTTTGATTAATTTGTAAGGCACAAATATGTTTTATCTCTGAACAAGTCAGTGCAATAAAACAAAATGATATGAGATTGAACTTAAAACTTTCTTCTATTATTAATATAGGAAAAACATTTGAAGTCAAAAACGGAATATCATAATGAATTAGAAAAAAAACTAGAAAGACAGCAAGATGAGTTGATGAAATATAAGAAAGAATTAGAAAATCTTGAAAGTTTATGTAGTAAAATAAATAAGTCAATTGAAACCGAAAGCAATGAACTGAAGATTATAAGTGAAGAATATAATAATGCAAAGAAGTTAAATGATGCAGCTAAAGCAGAAGGTAGGCGTATTTCAAAATAATAATTTGTATATTTGCATTTAGTGTTACCACCCGTCCGGTTTTCACCCGGACAGTCCGGGAATCGACTCACTGTCCTGGTGAACTATTAATTTTGTCCGGGAATATCTTGCGCAACCTGTCGACCTTTTTTTTCCTGCTTGTACTGTACGATTCGCATTCGTACACATCTCCAATATCCAATAGAGCTAAGTCATCTGTAGTTGTTTTTTCTTGATTTAGTTACTTACGTTACTCCTACCCAAGTCTAGCTAGTCCCTAACTGTAACTGATTTAGAACCGCCAAGCACTGCACGTTATTCTTCGCATTGAAAAATGACATTGCGCATGCGTCAAGAATTTCTGTTCGAACAAACCTTACCTGCCGTCCGGGTCAGCGATTTTGAAAAGGTGGCAACACTATTTGTATTATTTCACAAATCATAACAACTAAATAAAAATGTGTCTTAACATCTCATTATGTCAAACTTGGAACGTTTGTGCAGGGGTCCCCAAAGTGGTTAATATCTGGCGATCGACAAAATATTTTCGGGGTTCGATTGAAAACAGCTCATTAATTAAAAATTATTAGTTCGGTGGGTTATGTATGACAGTCCAGGATGATGTAGATTTGCATTCTAAGTAGAGATGCAGAATATATTCAATCGAGGATCGAAGGAAATTAAAGCAGTCTTAGGGAAATTTGCAGTAGAAAAAAAAATATTATGGTAGTAGCCATAAAAGGAGTAGTGCCTTGACTAAGTGAAGTTTCCTCCCTAAACTGTCTCCTTGGGTTGGTTTGCCAGTTTAGGCACAACTCGAAATTGTTTTGATGTAGGTTCAGTGAAAGCATACCTCAACATAATCAGTGTATACAGTTTATTTACAAAATATATATAGACTATATAAGTTGGAAAACACAGTAAACACAAGATACACAAAGCATAGCTCCTCACGTACTAGTTTGGCTTTCGGAAATGATTAAGTTCTGGAGAGGCCTCTGTCAGCTTGTGGATTGGCTCTACTGCACAGTGCCAGCACTTACCCATCCCTGAGATGTCTTGCAGAGCAGTATACTCACTCGCTCTCTCTCTCTGACCTCAGCGGACTTTCTAAGTGTCTGAGCCTTCTGTGTTACCAGTCTCGAGCCCTTTCTCTCCCTCTCTCCTGCTTGCTCTCCAATTTAAGGCTTTTTGGATGGAAACTTGCAACCAATTACAGATCTTCCTTGCAAACAGCTTTCACCCAGTTCTGCTTGGATCAGATGAGGGTGAAGCTTACTTTTGCATCCACCTATCTCCGATGTGGGTGGTCACCCACTTGTTAACTGCCAGGTGTTTGCCACCTGTCAAGTTGTTTACGTTTGGACCAGCCTTAAATCCAATTAGCGAGGTTGGTGCTTCCTTTGTTCCTTTTTGTTTACAAACCAATACTTTACAAAGTCTATACACATTAATTAGATTATCAAGTGGGAAGATGACATCCACATTTGGGTCAGGTGGATGTAAAAGAAAGCCCCTGGTGACAAAGCTTTGATTGATCAGAATTTGGCTCTCAAAAAACATTGAAGTTGGGAAGAGGTCAGAGAGGATAGGGAGAGAGGTTATACTCCTTCGGAAATGATGCTCAGATATGGATGAGGTCTGAGATTGGATGAAAAGTGCATACAGAGCCAATTCGTGGTCCAGAAATTACCAAGGAGACATCAATCCACGGTTGTTTCAGATTATCCATGGTCGTTATTTGTCACTTGGTATATTGTGGCAACGTGATAAACTGTGTACATTTCCTGTAAATAAACTGAATCGAGTTGAGTACAGTATAGATGTCATATGAACCTGCATTTCAAACATCTTGGGCCGTACTTACTCAATAAAACGGCTTGAGGATACAGAAGATAGATAGAAACTTTTATACTTTCTTAAAAATCAAAATCAAATTTTGCAAAAAACCGAAACAGAGCTTTAACAAGAACTGAAAAAAAATCCAATTTTATTTTGGTTCTTGTTAAAGTGAGATTCTAATGCTTGCATCCAGATAAAGTCTAGAAATTTATTGAAAATGTTCGAATTGTTAACAAGAATGTCCAGTGTACAGGGCTAATTATAGACCTGAAGAACAGTCAGTTCCAGATGTAGGTGCAGGTTGTTGAAATGGCAACAGTCAAAGATCATATGTTCAGGGTCCTGTAATTTTGACTGTGAAATTTATCAGAGTCACAAAATGGGCTATTAGGGCATCTAAAACAATGCAGATAATGGTTAAAGTTCCCTTGCCCCATAAAAATTTGAGTGGATTAACAGTTGATGCTGATAGCGTTCGTTCTCAGCCTCTATTAGATATCTGACAGAAATTGATATGTTTTCCACCCAGTCTCTTCTGTCTCCCATTCCTTTTGCCATAGTTGAATTGCAGTGCAGTTGACAGTGTTGTTAATAGCCATCACTGGAATACTATTATAACTGACTGTAGCAGAATAGGCCACTGCCTTGTTTTTCAAGAAGATCCGCCTTCTTGTTGGTTCATTCTAACACAAAGATGTAATAAAATGTATGTCCTATCCTATTAGTAGCAATAGACAATAGGATTTGTATGCAATGCCCAAGGCAATGATGTAAAATAAATAAATGTGACTTAATTCAATCTTGTTTGCTCTTCACTCTGCTGGTAATTTGCATATGCTACAGCATTGTTATAGATATGGTACACATCTTCACTGTTTTGGTTTTGGAACAGCTTGGTGATCCTTTGAACTACAGCAAGCTGAGTAAACGATGTCCTGCAGGTGTCTCCATTAAAGCTGTGTTTAAGCAGAGTTACCCATTATGCTGAACATGTAGCCTATATAGACACATAGTATCACACCGAAATATCTGGTAAATTTTGTACCTGTGCATACTGATGTGAAATCTCGCTGTTAATTTAAAATGTTATACAGTTGTTTTGACTGATTTTGTATTGGTGCACAGATCCTCTGTAACTGACAATGAATCATAAATGAATACATTCAAAAATGGGTCATCATGAAGTACTGTAACATAAACACATAAAAATAAAAAATGCTTTTCAGATACAGGACATTCATTACATTCTTAAGCTAACTTTTTCAGGTTTGATATTTCAAAAATCAAGTGCACATAAAAACCGAGAAAACACAGTAATATTGTTGTGAATAAACAAAATGAAACATTATATAATCAAACTAAAGCTATTGTTTTAAGTGAAAAGATTGCTATAATAGAAGAAAACAGTAAAGCCAAAAGTCAAACTGATGTTGCTGAAGATGAGTTTGAAAAGTAGTTGCTAAAATTATGGAAAAAAGATAAGATACAACAAGCTTTCATAACTCAAGAGTGAAGCAATAAAAAAATCAAAGATACAGTAAATTTGAAATTTGATGTAAAACAAACAAAAAATCATGAAAAAATTAATCATAATTGTAATTTTTTAATAATTTCAGTAATCTTTAAGAAATTTGTTTAGTTAAATTAGGTCTAAACAATAACCTGATACAAATCTTTTTATAAGAAATGTTAACATTTTTGGCTATTTTCATGTTTCTAAAATAAAATACCAATAAGCTAAAGCATTTGTTAAAGTCATTGAATAAATCAGTTTATTAATTTAACAATTGAATATGTATACTATACTACTATATATGGGTATTCACTTAGTTTTAATAATTTTTAACACCTAACATGATGGAGAAACTCATCCTAAATGCAAAAAAGCGTGAAATAAATCAGTACAGTAAACAATAACAGGATTTCTTTAATTGATCCTGTTATGTGAGAAAAAGCTGCTGAAATTGTAAAAGAATTGAATATTAACAGTTTCAAAGCAAGTGAAGGATAGCTGTTAAAGTTTTGAAAGTATCATTCCATAACTCATAATCATATCAGGAGAATCAGGATCAACAAACCATGCTGCAGCTGAAGAATGTATAAAGGAAAAGTAGCCCATTATTTTCTGCAACTAAACCCCAGCAGATATTTTCAATTGATGGAAATCAGTAATAAATAACTACTTGGATTAAGAAAAGGGGAATAGTGCTAGATGGCATTTTTTTTCCAGTCTGAAAAGACTTGAGGAACCTTGGGTGTAAATGGAAGACTAAAGGGAATTTACAGAATTGTGGTTGTTTTTGTAGTAAGAGGGAAAGGTGGTCCCAATGATTACATAATCTGTCCAGTTAGACAGGAGCTAGCAAGAGTGGCATATGTTTACAATACATGATGTTAGAATCTAGTCATATTTTCTGTCACCGTTGTGCTGATTTCCTTGAAGATTGGGTGGAAAGTATTAATGTTCTAGGCTTAACTGGAATTTCTTTTTTCATCTTGATCTGAAGAAAGCAGCTTGTACATACATTATTCCATGACAAAACTATGAATTGAAAAGTATTAAAAATGAAGCATATTTTTATTTTAATAGATATTTTTAATGCCTTTCAGAAGAAAAATTGCAAATTGAAAGAAAAAATTTAGAAATAGAAGTTGCAAGACTAGAGGCTTTAAAAGAAATCACTTATTCAGAAAAGGATAATGCGCAATGTGTTGCAAAAAGAGTAGGAATTGAGAAATCTGCACTGAAATCAGAAAATTATCAAATAGTATGTAATAAAATTTCAAGATAATTTTATTATTACTATATAAGTTATATAAATATAATAATAATAATAATAATTTAAAATTTATGATAATTTAGTATATTTTTAATATATAGGATATGCTGATTAGCAATCTCCAGGAACATCTTTTAACTGAAAAAGAAAAAGCAAATCTTTTTAAAGCACAATGTTCTGCTCAACAAGAAGAATTAAGTACTTTGAAAGATCATGTAATCAAAACAAAAACAGAAATTAAGGTACTTTTTTTAGAAAACATCTTGCAATTCCTCTGAAATTTATTACAATTCTAGTTATCAAATTAAAAAGTAGTAATAATATTTTCAAAATGAATTAAACTTTTAATATGTCTAGGATATAAGAATTTATTCAGACTTTTGTATTGGATTTTGGATTTAAAATAATGCAAAGATGCATAATTTTAAAAATATTTTTCTATTATTTAGAAACTATATAAGATGATCAAAAATAATAAATACTAGCAGACCCCGCCACGCGTTGTTGTGGCTCAAAATGTATCTATTATAAATGTATAACACTTCCCCGTGGGGGGAATTTTTCGAAAAACCCCTTAGTGTACATTTTATTGACATACCCTATTAAAACGCAATCAAAAACGCAATAAACTGCATCTGAAATAGTATAATAGAAGCCAAGTTCTTCACGGTAAGCCTTAATCCTGTCCCTCTCCCCCGCGGGGGACTATCGAAAAATCCCTTTGTAGTGTATATTCTGTTGACGTACCCTATTAAAATGCAATCAAAAACGCAAAAAACCGCATCTAAAATAGTATAAATAGAAGCAGAGTTCTTTACGGTAAGCCTTAATCTTAACCATCTCCCTTCAGTGGGGGGAATTTCGACATGTATATTATATAAAAACACGTGCATATTCGAATGCAGCGTTGTGTCAAAATTTCAACGGAATCGGTATGAACAAACGAACATTACATTTTTATTTATATAGATAGATAGAAGATGATCTGCTTTAGTTCATTTTCACAGAAAAGCATAATGCCTCACAG